CATCTCATGTCGTCCGAGCATCACCTCCACCAAGAAAGCCAGATGCTGGCGGTGAAAGAGCACAACACGTTGCTATCGAAGCAGTTCCTCGTGGGATGTTACCGTGGAAATCACCCCAATAACGCCCTGCTTCGAAATGAACCGCCTCCCCGACATGTCAGACGTCACCTGCACGACTGGAAATCCGACGTCGAGCCGTGCGTAGACCACCCATTCGACGCAGAGAAATACAGAGCGGCGCTTAACCACCTACACACCGATGCAGTCAGGTCGAGTCTTAGCACCAGAAACGACAACATCGTTCTAGGTGGTCGACCGGCACCCATCAACATCGACGAAGCCGAACTGCCTAGAGAGACGGTGCACCCTAGCACAACTCCGTTCTGGGTGGTGCCGCAGATTAAACAGCTATCTCTCCCGGCTGAACCCAGGAGTGGCAGACACATGCCCTGCATGCGGGCAAGGTCCACACAACACACAACACCTCTTCGCATGCGCCTCTAACCCCACGACCCTGACACCAGAAGCATTATGGACCGCGCCTATAGACGCTGCCCGCTTTCTCGGCCTCAGGCTTGTCGAGTCAGAGGACGAAGACGACCCTTGACGAAACCCCGGGGGGTTGAGTACTGCTGCTACAACAACAACAACAAGAAATAAGCTATTTAAAGAAAATATCCTTTTTCACCTTAAAGTGACATTCTTGAAATATTTTCTATTTGTTTTTTTTCCATGAGTCTTATTTCACGAAAATATAAAAACAAGGAAATCATTGAATCTCCTTAAGCAATAAACAGACATTGCTAATTATCTTATTTTTAGTGGTTTTTGTATAAACAAACTGGTTACATTCAGGAAATATTTAGCCCCACTTACCGTAGTGCAATGATAGATTCACTTAAAAACACAAAATAATTACTGTTATTGAGTTATTTCTTATGTTATTCAATCAACAATTTCTTGCGCTTCTCAACTGCAATGCACTTAGGCAAGCAAAACGACTAATATTAATATCACTGACAAAATTAAAGAAGTGACATTCTGGAAAATTCGGAGGGACAATATTATGGTAGAAAGCCACGCTTATCCTGAAAAAATATTTCAGAAAAAAATAGAGTAAAACAATAAAAGGTGGTCATTCACAAACAATTACGGCTTCTTTCATTGTTTCTTTGTTTAAACTTTTTTCATGTTGATTATCGAATAACCTGAGCGAGGACAAATATTTTTATATGGAATAGGTGAAATACCGTTCGCAAAAGGAAACCAAACGGCTAACAATAATAAAACACAGCTTATTGGACGCTTATTATTTGGATTGTATAATGCTGTTTTTGACTTTTCGTTTTTACCAACATAAAAAATAAAAAAATGGGGGACATAAAAGTAACACTTTGTTTGGAAATGACCCATGAAACTTTTAAGGTCATTAAAGAGCCCTAATGCGGCTTTACGCTCATAATGAGCTTATTTACGCTCATAATGAGCTTATTCAAGAGTCCGAAATAAAGGTGTTTCCCTTCTGGCGAAGGTCGACTAATATAGAGTTTAAATTCATACATTAAATGAGCCATAATATGAGTCATATGTGACTGTTTTTGCGCTCATATACGGCACATTTCGAACTCTTCTATGACTCTCATTCTCCATATTTGTGACTAATTTTGGATTCTGTTTTTTATGTTTTTTATGTTGTCCTGATACTTATATTACTAGTCTTTCTCAAATATTATTGCACTAGAACTTTTATAAATATAATCATTATCTATTTAATGTTAATATTATACATCGTTATTAATTTTATATATCGTCACCAGGAACGCAAAATACCGTAACTAACAAAAAATATGTAATAGATTAACGTTTTAATTGATTATGGTGCATTACATCGAATTAAAAGTCCACAATCATAAAAAATGTTAGTTACGGCCTTTTGCATTTCAGGGGACGATATGTGTACCATGTATTTACACATACCGTCCCCTGAAATGCAAAAGGCCGTAACTAACATTTTTTATGATAAAACGAATTGTGGACTTGTAATTCGATGTAATTTACCATTATCAATTAAAACGTTAATCTATTACATATTTTTTGTTAGTTACGGTAAAAGAAAAAAGAAGGTAGTTTCAGTTAATAACATCAACAGTCATGTTAGCCATTTGACTTTTCCTGGGATTATGACATTTTCATCAAAATCTAGCTACCAGATCGAAAATTATAATATTTTTTTTTCTGGAAAGAATTTTATCAGCAAAACAAAAAATAAAGTAATTTTTTAAAATAATACAAAAATGAGCTGCGCATTTGGAAGCGCCAAAAATACAAAATACCACTGCAAGAAAGACGGTACAAAATTTTTTAAATTTCCAGCGCTTCCGTCTGGGAGACAAAAATGGCTTGAAGCCTGCGGCGTGAGCGAGAAAAGTATTTAAAAAAAAATCCATCTACAATTACAAAATCTAGATGAGATGGTGGCGGTTTTAGGAATTAAAATCATCGGATACAAATTTTTGTAACTATAATTGTAATCTAATACTCCTTCGATTTACGATTATTCCAATCCTAATTCAAACTATTTTAAATTTGATATT